TGTGTGTGTGTGTGTGTGTGTGTGTGTGTGTGTGTGTGAGTGAATCACCTGCACACCACAGAATCCCTTCGGCCCCAGGTAGCGCTCACACTCCATTGCAATGTCCGTCCACTTCCACTCAAACAGATGTACGATCACCTGTCTCCCGGCACAGTGGGGGTCGTGGTAGTCGGACACACAGGACACTGCATGCAGGCGAGAGATACAGAGGAAAAATCAGATGTTTAGTAAGAAAAAAAGGGGCAATCCACTTTACCCCCAAGGATTGGAATGCTTTCCTTGAACTTTTTATGATACCTTTTTGTGTTGCACAATTTTCCAGAAAGGATTAACTTTGTTCCTGATAACCTTAAACAAGTTAGATTTTCTCAATGGTTATTTTATTCTCTGTATCATCGCTTTATGCTTTAAGTTACTGTCTTTCGAATATATACAAACTGTTCCATAATGGAAAGTCAGAAGACACTGCAAATATTACGTATTTAGTTAAAACGAAAATATAGATAACAACAAAGCAAGCTTAGTGAAATAATCAACAACTATCGGATATCTTTACGGCCACGTAACGGGGTAGGCCTACTAGTAGACTTAAGTTTATGGTTAACAACCATTAAAGGGACTGTTGAAGTAATTTCTTTTACAACTGAGACCAAATGTTGAAACAGGAGATAGCTCGAGATATAAACGATTGTTGTCAATAAGTCTAAGCTGCATGTTAAGGTTACATTCTCGCTGCTTCTTTTGATCTCGTGAATATCCAGAGATTTTAGAATTTTATCGCCAGGCAGATGAATTTGTCCATCTTGCCAGATTTGGTAAGTTAACGATTTACGTCTGTTTGACACCCAGCAACCGTCGATCCCTCCTCAACCTCACATTTAAGTTTAAGTTGTGATGCTGTCTTGGAATTATTCTCTGTCTGAATTAGACTCACACTCACACAGTGGGGTTTTGCTAGATACACGTTATTGTGCATGCCACTGGCAAATCTGTTATTAAGAAAGATATAATAATATATTAGAAAGGAATCAGTTCGGTATGATCCGAAGTTATATAACTCTATAATTATTGACTTCCATCTAAAAGAAAAGATTTTAAAAAACTTTATTAAAAAACAAACAAACAAACAAACAAACAAACAAAAAACAAGCTCCAACCAAACAAACAAATAAAATGAAAAACAAAACAAAACAATGTTCAGTTGCTTTACATACGCGATTGTTCTTCGTTGATTTACAATGACACTCAAAGACTGTCTTAATCGAGACAGATTTCTACCCAGATTGGTAAAATAGTTGGGAGCTAGATCTACTCACCTGACACCAATAAAGGCAGTAGGGAGAGGGCTAACAACACCACCATCTTGGATAAAATTCTGACAACAGAGGGAAACTGTCTGCGTTCGGCGTCTACCTTTATACTTCAATCTACAATGTGCCAGAAAAACCAAAAAAACTTGGCGTGGGATCTTCGGCAGACCAACCAGAAAACTAAAGTCCGGTCATTTCCTCGTGTGATTACAACAATGCCATCCTTATCTAAGACTTTGAAGTTTAACCAAAGGGTCTCGTTACAATAAGGACAATATGTTCGTCTTGATGAGACTACAGACCCAAGGTTGTCTAAAATCGTTGTGGGAGTCCAGAAAAAGGGTCGCTGTTGTCTCGTTTGATAAGACCGGTCGGCCATTACATAAAAGCTTTGTGGCGTGTTGCAAAGGGCGTGTGTCCTGATGTGTTGCGTCACTGCTGAGGTCCACTGTATAGATCACGTGACAATGATTCTGTGTTCAGTTCGTTCGGTTGTTAGTAAGTTTGTTCGTTCGTTTGTTCTATCTATCTATCTATCTATCTATCTATCTATCTATCTACCTATCTATCTATCTATCTATCTATCTATCTATCTATCTA